ACTCTGCATTATATATACACACACTCATACACACACACTCTGCATTATATACACACACTCATACAAACACACACTCTGCATTATATACACACACTCTGTGTATATAATGCAGAGTGTGTATATAATGCAGAGTGTGTGTTTGTGTAGTGTGTGTGAACTGGGTGGGGGGAGGGCATTTTTATTATTAAAATTTGTTTTTATTTTAATACTATTATTTTTTTATTATTTATTTTTTTTTGTCCCCCCCCTCCCTGCTTGTTAACTGGTCAGGGAGGGGGGCTATCTTAATCCCTGGTGGTCCAGTGGCATGGGCTGTGAAGTGGGGGGACCGGCAGGAAGCATTTACTTACCTTTCCTGCAGCTCCTGTCAGCTCCCTTCTCCTCCGTTCCAGTCAGCTCCACTGTAAGTCTCGCGGTCTGGTTGCCGCGGGATCGTTGCCATGGCTCTGATGGCCGCGGCTCTCTAAGTTGCCATAATACAGACAGTGACTCGAGTATAAGTCGAGTGGGGGTTTTTAAGCACAAAAAATGTGCTGAAAAACTAGACTTATACTCGAGTATATACTGTACCTTTTTCTTACTTGATCCTCAAACCAAGTGGTGGGAAAATGTATATTATATTATGTATGTATTTTGCAGTACACTAACTGGCCCAATTTGCATACTTTTGGTTTGTATGTTGTTTTTTGCTGTAAACACTGCCTTTTCAACTGCCTAGTAATACCTCCAATGGCAGTGACTGAGACGGCCACTAGAGGTTGCTCCTGGGTCAGTACTGCAGCACTGATGTTCAGTGTCTCTATGGTGCATGAAAACTCTGATAATTCCTAATAGAGATGCATTGATTCAGATGCTGACTGGCCAGTGCATTTGACTCTGCCCCACGCCCACCTCCTTGTCTGAGATCAGGAGAATTGGCAACCCACAGGGAAGCATTGGATTGGCTGACATTGTCAATAGGAAAGTCAGGACCATTCAAACTTTAGCGAACAACTCTGTTAGAGACACATTATTGGAATAATGTGGCAGAATTTGAGTCTTTTCTCTAATGTGGCTATTTATTTGCCATTCACTGACATTTATTGTTTAGTAAATAAACATTTGCTTTTCAGTGGGTACCCTTTTAACCCAAGTCTAATCAATTCACCTTAAAATATATATTTTTTACATTTCTTTTTACAATATGGATGTATGCTTCACCATCTGTTCACAAACAGTGGTGTTTATTCAATAAATACCAAATTGTAATGAATTTAAAACTTCATTGCAAAAGTATTGTTCTTTTGGAAAAATTCAACTCAGCTAAAGTCACAGTTTGGATATTTTAGCATAATTATTGCAATGCACTTTCCAGTTACCTTCAATTTGTTTTGTTTTTTGTTTCTTTAAAAACCAGACAGCATACAGACATAAAACTGTGCAATAAACATTTACTCAAAACTTGACTTTAGAAAAAAAATAAAACACCTACTCAAGCATTTTCACACCATTACATCACATTGCTAAATCCAACTCGAATGGAACCATAAATATAGCTGACAAAAATGCATGCATTCAGTTACTGAACTGAACTATACACCCTCATGACTTGCAGATTCATCCTGTCACAGATACAATACTTTGAAAAGGTACATCGAAGGAGTGCCTTTTTATATCTGAAATGAACTGGAAAATTCTTTATAGAACTTGCTACTTCAGCATTTATGTTAAGAATGTTTGTGTTTTGTCTTATTGCATCTGTTTACATCTCTTTAACTCTTGTTTCTTTTGTTACACTATAAAACAGGTCCACCTACTACATTTTTCTTTTTAGACAAACCCAGATGCATGTACTCACTCTCACACACAAACATATTATGATGTCTCCAGGAGTCTATGATTAAATTATAGTATTAGAGTCCCATTGTATTCATTTCACCATAATGAATTCTATATATGTGTACTTTTAAAGTACTGTTATTTATGTCCTTGATTTTGCCCACTCATACACAGGGGTAGACCGACAACTCACAGGGCCCTTAGGCAATAGGAGATCAAAGTCCTGTCTCCTGGTTCAAGATTTCTTTGTAACTACTACTCTTCTCCGCCTTCTTTGTGCAGCTTTCACACATATTCAATGTGCACGCTGAATGGCTGTGTGAAAGCCACAGAGTCATGACTCCCAAACCTGCATGGCCTCCTATACAGAGCCAGATTTACTATTAAGGTTAATAAAACACTGTTTTGGGATAGAGTGACCCTTGCGCACATCTCCACACCCATTAAAATAAAGAAATAAAGCAAATGTAATTACACGCTTCAACCATTTTTGCTGGATACATCACAAGCAGCATCCCCCACAAATGCAACTTACAAGTAGCCTACAAACACATGCGCAGAGAGAGGATACCTGGCAAAAAGAATGATCGCTGCCAGGTCTATCTGAGAAAGATGGTAAGTGGGAGGTGGGGTCACTTACAGTGCAATAGGTTACACTTACAGCTGTCAGACAAACTATCACTAGAATATATGGGTAATTCTGTTTTTCTCCCTGGGGAGATCTCTGATCTCTTCAGCCAGGTCATGACTGATTAGCTGGGCACCTGACTGCCTTATGCCCTCAGTCCACGACTGATCTGCCCAAGTGGTCAGTTTGGACCTGCTCATACACATACATCCATGTCTGGTTACACTTTTCTGTCCGGCCCTGGAGATCCGCAGAAATAGTCTCCATGGCGTGAATTTCTCCCACTCTATCCACCCATTGTTGGATCATAGGGGCAGTCGCCTTCTTCCATAGAGTGGGTATCAGGGACTTCACGGCTGTCAGCAGGTGTCTCATCAGGGATTTCTTGTAGGTTTTGAGCGTCATGCTCGTTTGATGTAGCAAAATGGGAAGGGGCTAGAGCGGGAGGTCTGGGTCTGATATTTCTCGGATTTTGGTATTCACCATCTCCCAGAAGGGGGTGATTCCTAGACACGCCCACCAGACTTGGAGCATAGTGCCTCTTTCCTCCCCGCACCTCCAGCATGTCTCGTCGTTTTCCGGGGACATGCGATGTAGCATGTCTGGTGTTCTGTACCAGGTACTTTGAGCTAATAGAGCTTTTGTGTGTGAGTAGGAATATTTTGTCCCATTCCTGGGCAGTCAGGATTTCTCTGGTTTCTCTTTCCCATCGTGCGATTAATTTCGGTGGTGGTCTGTTTACTCCTTCCATAAGCATCGCGTACAGTGTCGAGATTCCCTGTTCCAAGTTTTCGCCTGTTCGAGCAGAGTTTCTCAAAATGTGTGAGGTCTCGGTGGAATTGTTGTTTGGTCATCGAGGCAGAGTAGTAGGACTTGACCTGCAGGTATCGGAGTCTGTCGAGAGCAGTTGGAGTAGTGTCAGGGAGCAGGTCTGTCAGGTTTTTGAGGGTGCCACTGTCACACCATTGTCGTATGTAGATCCAGTCCGTTTGTGAATTTTTTTTTAGTTCTGCCGGTGTCAGTCCACCCCCAATGTGTGGGTTACAGGTGAGGGGCGTGAGCGGGCTGGTGTGGGTGGCCAGCTGTTGCGGGTAGCGGAGGACGCACCACTCCTTCAGTGTCGCGTCGATGAGGGGGTTGCCCGTGCGCAGGGCATTGAGTGGTGTTCCCGTCCTCCACAGTTGCAAGGGTATTTTTCCTCCTGCCTGTGTTATCTCTGTTCGTACCCACAGTTTTTCCGTCGGGTGGACATGCCAGTCGGCAGCCCTCAGCAGATGGGTTGCTCGGTAGTAGCCTAGGAACGAGGGGAGCCCAGGTCCCCCCTGATGTTTGGGTTGCTCCAGTTGGTGTTTGCTGACCCTTGGTGCCCCTCTCTTCCACACAAACCTTCGAATTGCCGTGGAGACAGAGTGAAAGAATGCTTGTGGTATGGAGATAGGGATCGTCTGGAATAGGTACAATAAGCGCGGGAGAATATTCATCTTGATCGCGTTTATATGTCCAAACCAGGAAATATATAGGTCCGTCCATTTTTGCATATCGACCTGTAGCGAGGTCAGGATGGGGGCAAAATTCTCCTGGTATAGATGCATGCCCAATTTCTTATCCCAATTACAAGACTCAAGTCAGTGGTATATGGACGGTGAATCGTACTCCTCTGATAAGGACACAGCACAATTGACTGAACCAGAGATTTTGAATCACAAAATGATTTTTTGGGCGCTTGACCGGTCCTCCTATCCCTTTATAATGAGTTTCAGTAGGGCGACCCATTTGAATGCCCTGGACAAAATGTGCAGCGCCAAATGCGGAGTGCAAAGATGTATTCCTGGCACTACTGATCCCTCTGCCTAAACCTCCCTTGCACCCCATCCTACCCAGTAAATAAAGGGTTAAAAGCCCTTTATTTACTTACCTTATCCCAGCCCCGAGGGACACAGCGCCCCACTGAGAAGGGGGTGGGGCCAGAGAGGGTGTGTTTTGTCATCACTAGTGACAAGCATGCCCCCTCTCAAAGTGAGCATGTTGGTTCAATGCACAGAGCCCTGTTGAAGAGCATGAGAAAAAGGCCCTGTATTTGTTCTGCACAGCGCAAGCAAATTTAATAACATGCTTGCTCTGAGTTTGCTTTTAACTTGTCTCTGGTGTCTCCATAAGTGGGATACCAGAGGACAAAAGGGCCAGGAAAGCATATGGTGCATGTGTTTGGAGCCTGCTTGTGGGATTGCGTGTGTGGAGAGTGAGCTGATTGTAGTGTGGTATTGTGTAAATAGGTTGATTTAATTTGTGTGTGTGTGGTGTAATATGTGTGGCTAGGGGCTGTAGAGAGTGTGTGTATAGAGGGCATAGTGTATATTGGGGATGTAGCGAGTGTGTGCATACGGGATGTAGTGTGTGTAGGGGTTGTAGAAAGTGTTTAGAGAATGTAGGATGTGTTTGCTTACAAGGAATGTAGTGTGTGCATAGGGGACCCAGAGTTTGTATGTCAGGAATGTAGTGTGTGTACGTGGTGCAGTGTGTGTGTGTGTAGGGCATGGGTCCTCAAACTCCAGCCCCCCAGATGTTGCTGAACTACAACTCCCATGTATCTCTCGCTATCTATGTAATTCAAAGAATCATGGGAGTTGTAGTTCAGCAACATCTGGGGGGCCGTAGTTTGAGGACCACTGGTGTAGGAGATCTAGTGTGTAAAGGACCCAGAGTGTGTATAGGAGATTGTGTGTGTGTGTAGAGGATTCAGAGGGTATGTAGGGATCTAGTGTGTGTATGTGTGTAGATCAGATGATCCAGAGTTGGGTAAGGGATCTAGCGTGTATTGGAGCATAATGTGTGTAGTGCTGCAGTGTGAGGGGTGCTGTGGTATATATATATATATATATATATATATATATATATACACACACACACACATATATATATATATATATATTATTAAATATATATATGTTTGGACGTATTGTATGTGTGAGGGGTGCAGTGTATTGGGACTGCTGTGTGTATATATGAAGGGTGCAGCACATGTGTGTGTGTAAGAGGGTGCTCTTATCTGCCATCACATTCTATGTTTTAATTTTCTTTGTCTGTTAACTGACTGAGGGTTATTTTACATATTATACGTGTGTGTGTGTGTGCTGTGTGTGTGTGTGTCTGTGTGTGTGGGGGGTGCTGTGTTTGTCTGATGGTGCTGTGTGTGTCTAAAGGTGCTGTGTGTAGGAGGGTGCTGTCTGGGTACGTGTGCTGTTAGTGTGAGGGTGCTGTGTGCGTGTGTGTGTGTGTGTTTGTGTGTGTGAGGGTGCTGTGTGTGTGTGAGAGTGCTGTGTGTCTGAGGGTGCTGTGTGTCTGAGTGTGCTGTGTGTGTGATGTGTATGTGTCTGAGGGTGCTGTGTGTGTGAGGGTGCTGTGTGTGTGTGCTGTGTGAGTAAGTGTGCTGTTAGTGTGAGGGTGCTGTGTGTGAGAGTACTGTGTGTGTCTGAGGATGCTGTGAGTGTGCTGTTAGTGTGCTGCGTGTGTGTCTGATGGTGCTGTGTGTATCTGAGGGTGCTGGAAACTTACCAGGAAAGGTTAAAGGATCTTAACATGTATAGCTTGGAGGAAAGACGAGACAGGGGGGATATGATAGAAACATTTAAATATATAAAGGGAATCAACACAGTAAAGGAGGAGACTATATTTAAAAGAAGAAAACTACCACAACAAGAGGACATAGTCTTAAATTAGAGGGACAAAGGTTTAAAAATAATATCAGGAAGTATTACTTTACTGAGAGGGTAGTGGATGCATGGAATAGCCTTCCAGCTGAAGTGGTAGAGGTTAACACAGTAAAGGAGTTTAAGCATGCGTGGGATAGGCATAAGGCTATCCTAACTATAAGATAAGACTAGGGACTAATGAAAGTATTTAGAAAATTGGGCAGACTGGATGGGCCGAATGATTCTTATCTGCCGTCACATTCTATGTTTCTATGTTTCTGTTAGTGTAATAGAGCTGTGTGTGTGTGTGTGTGTGTGTGCTGTTAATGTTAGTGTGCTGTTAGTGTGTGTGTGAATGTGCTGTGTCTGAGGATGCTGTTAGTGTGAGTGTGCTGTGAGTGTCCTGTGTGTGTGAATATGTCTGGAGGGATTGTGTGTGTGTGTGTGTGTGTGTGTGTGTGTGTGTGTGTGTGTGTGTGTGTGTGTGTGTGTGGGTGGGAGGGGGGAGATGTAAATATATTAATTTTTTTTTTTTATTAAAAAATACTAAACTTCATATCCCCCCTCCCTTCTTACCTTTAGCCTGGAAGGGGGGAGCCATGCTGCCATGGAGGAGGGTCGTGCTGCAGTCCCTGGTGGTCCTAGTGGTGAGTGAACTCTGAGCGTTGCCGCGGTAATCGAGGCAACGCTCTGACCTCGCGAGAGGAACCTGGTGGAGCTGCAAGGTAGAGCTCCACCGGGTCCTCCTCTCCTTTCCTCCCCAACCAGTGGCAGTGTTACAGTGCCTGTGGGCTGGTGAGGGAGACCTTTGATCTCCCCACCGGCCCATGAAGGCACACAGCAGGGCTGGCACTCTGATGGTGTCGGCCCTGCATGGGCCGGCCGGCCGGGGAGATCCTGTGATCTCCCCTTCTGGCCTCGATCCATGGTCATCGCGGCCCACCAGGCATTTGCCCGGTATGCCCGATGGCCAGTCCGGGCCTGCTCCACACCCATCCCTCCAGACAGTTTAGTCCATTCTAAACTTTTCCATCCCCACTATCTGCTGAGCCTTTCTGGCTCTTTTTAAGGGTTTCTATGTTTTTTTTTTGTGTGTTACTTATGTTCTTTTGCATATAATTCTTAATAAAACTGTGTATTGATTATTCCACTTTATATCTAGAAGGGACCTTTTGTGTCCTCTGGACTTTAAGCCTTTTGGACATTTATGTGTTTAGTTCTATACATTTTTCCTGCTTTCAACACATTAAATTCAAGAACTGACTGTTCACTTGCTGCCTAATATATCCCATCCCTTGACAGGTGCCATTGTAATGTAATTCAATTCAAGATTTTCCTAGTCTTGATGTCAGAATATATAGATTTTTTATTTACCGACAGGAGGCTCATATTATGCATTAACTGTCTTCTCCAGCAGCAAATACACTTTTTCAATACACTTTTTCAAAGTTTAGTAAATAAAAGACAAAAAAACGAGTAACTGAAATGGAACACTCAGTAGCCAATAAGCATCCAGCGTAGTCTATATAGTGAATGATACCCAATATTCTTCCTCTTTCGAGCTGCGAATCTAGAAGAAGTATCTAGTAGAGTGAACTCCAAGTATAAGAACAACGAAACTCCAAACAGGATTAAGTTGAAACATAAAGAACAGGGTGGTTTAATGGGAGGGATAATACTCGCCTCCTGTCTTTAATAGAATCTATGTTTTCTGATGGCAAGACTAGGAAAATCTTGAATGTTATGGTAAGACAGGAGGCTCATATTATGCATGTTAAAAGCTGAATAATCATAGAAATATATATCAAATACATTGTTAAAATATTACAATATTATTTTTGAAACATGCATGCTGGGTCTAAAATAAAACTGTTTAAATGTAGATTCTAAATACCAATCTGCGGTTTTTAACAGGTCTGATAAAGAGCCTCCTGCTTGAAACACTTTAGTAGTCATAGCTCCTCTTGAAGAGTAAACTCCAAACACTGAAATATCGATACCTGCTATAGACATAGTTTATCTTACCCATCTGGCTAAAGATGTAAAGGAGACAGGCAGAAAGGTTACGAAAAGAGATTAGCAATTGAGAGAAATTAGAATTTCTTATAGATGAGGTTTCAAGCTCATACGTTTGAAAACAATTGACAACACATTGAAGAGGATGGCCAGCTCCACCATGCAGGCATGCTGCCTAGGTGTTCTCTTTGACTCCGACCTCTCCTTCAAGCCTCATGTTCAGTCTCTCGCCAAATCCTGTCATTTCTATCTCAAAAACATTGCGCGCATCCACCCCTACTTAACGCCAGAAGCGACTAAGGTGTTGGTCCATTCCACTGTCCTTTCTCGCCTTGACTACTGTAATCTGCTTCTCAGTGGTCTTACGTGCTCCCAACTTGCGCTGTTACAGTCCATAATGAATGCGGGGGCGAGGCTTATCTTCCTGTCCGCCTGCACCGCTCACGCCTCACCCTTCTGTCAGTCCCTACATTGGCTTCCTATAAGATATAGAGCTCAATTTAAAATTCGGATTCTTGCTTTCAAATCTCTACATAATGCTGCTCCCAACTATCTATCCTCCCTTATCCACAAGTATGTCCCGTCTAGGCCCTTACGATCTGCTGAAGACTTACGTCTATCTTCTGTCCCACCTCTGATGTTCGCCTTCAAGATTTCTCGAGGGCCACACCGTTCCTGTGGAACTCACTTCCCTCCTCCGTTAGATGCTCACCCAATCTCCACTCCCAAAAATCTTTAAAAACCCACTCCTTCATAAAAGCGTATCACTTAAACTGTTAATAGCTCCCGACTGATTCCTCTTCTGTAACTGTCACTAGTCTAATACTATCCTTACCTTTTGTGTCATTTTACCCCACTCCCTCTAGCATGTAAGCTCATTGAGCAGGGCCCTCAACCCCTCTGTTCCTGTGTGTCCAACTTGTCTGGTTACAACTACATGTCTGTTTGTCCACCCATTGTAAAGCGCTGCGAAATTTGATGGCGCTATATAAATAACATAATAATAATAATAATAATAACAGAACACAGAGCAGAGATTAGTTTTGGTACGTCTAACAATAGAAAAATTAACGCCATCAGGAGTATATTGTCTATTATTTAAGTCTAAAGCATTAACGTCAGAAACTCTTTTAATTGAAATGAGGCACAGTAATGTGGTAAGCTTAATCGAAAGCGATTTTAAGGATAATGAGCCATTGTCACCCCACGATTCTATTAACTGGAGTACCAGAGTAACATCCCAAGTAGAATGATATTTAGGGCATGGAGGACGCTTAAATCTAATACCCATCATAAGTCTGCAAACTAAGGGATGTTTAACCACAGGGAAAAATTCATTAGGGTCGTGATTTGCTGAGATAGCTGATCAATAGACATTAATGGTGTGATAAGCCTTGCCTGAGTCAAATGAGGCTGACAAAAAATTTAGAATGTTTTCTAAATCTGAATGTACGGAATCCACAGCCCGTTCCATGCACCAATTAAGCCAAATTTTCCAGGTTGATCTATAATTTGCATGGGTTCATGGTGCCCATGCTTCTGAGAGTATGTCTCTACTTGAGTTTTGAAAATTCACTATGAGATTCGTATGACCTGAGATGAGAGATGTTATTAGGTGGTTGACCTGATAGTACTAGAGGATGAAGATTTTCCTCTGGATCGCGAAGAGCATGCCAACGCATCTGTAGGAGTTGTGGGTAGTGCATCAGTATGCTGAGAAGCTGAGGGAAACATGGTTGTGAATCCCAGAAAGGGGTTATTACCACTAGGGTTGATTAAATTCGATAACTGAGGGTCAATTTAATTAAAATTGCTGGTCAGAGCTGTGTTAGCATTCCCCCAAAAGCATACAATGCATTGGGTGCAGCTTGTTTTAAAGTCTCAAACATTTTTGCCACAGGACCAGATATGTCCATTAATTTATCTTGACAGGATTTTAGTG